GTGTGTGTGTGTGTGTGTGTGTTCGTAGGACCTGTGTAGAGAGGTGTGTTTCATAACTTCGTAGTTCACAATGCACATATCAGTACAGATACACACTTTTCTGGGCAACAGTGGGTTTTTTTCTTAAAACATCCAGGATAACAAGCATCAGCTGGTGCCCACAATGATTGTAGAGAAAAGTTGTCATTAGAAACTCTCAAAATAGCACTAATATTCTATAGATTAGTCTTTCTTATTGTGCAAGATGTCCAGATGGTGATTTGCTTAGTGCTTATTTTTTAATGTTTTCTGTTTCAAGTTGAGTGTCCTCTCTCATTTGTATGATTCAAACTCAGAAAAGCTGATTTATATTTCACATAAAAAAGTAATGCTCCTGGGCATGGGTGTGAATAATAACTGGTGAGTTCTTCTGAACTTCTGAATGAATTCTAAGACAAGTTTGCTCTACAGAAGAGAACATCAAAGGCTGTAGCATACTACTCTCCAAAAATATAATCATTCACATCAAGTTTTGTTCTCAAACAACTAGCTGTAATTAGGTACACCAAACCCATTTTATAATTTATCCTCAAGCATATTCATATCATTGTAAGTGTACCTGTAATTCCATCTTTCAAGGAATAGGACTGTCCTGTATTTAATTCTTAAAATCAGAGTACTTTAAAAAAAAAAAAAGAGGTGGACTTAAGCAAAGCAGAAGTCACAAGTGGCTGAGTTATAACAAGGTCTTTGACAGAATAAAAAGGACCGGGAAGGATGCTGCCAAGGCTGTCTGTGAAGAGGAATCTATTAACAAGGTTAAGCCTGGAAGTGAGCCGTCCCCTTGATTGTCTCAGGCGGAAGGAATCCTTGATTGTCTCAGGCGGAAGGAAATCTACCCTACCCACAAGGATGGAGGACTTAACGTTAGGGGGAGGGCAGGCTGAGGAGAAAGAGAGAGTAGAAAAGGCGGGGAAGAGAGGGGAGGTGGCAGAAGGTTTCTTAGTGACAGGAGGAATAGAGGGAAAGATGGAGAGAGGTAGAAGTTGGGGTTTGGAGGAGTGGATCAGCCCGGAAAGAGAAGCAAAGGAAGGGAGCAGCGCGGGACCAAACAAGGAAGAAGAAACATAGATGTCCTCGAGGTGGCTTCAGTAAGCCCAATCTTTTCTGCACTGCCCTGGCAGAATAGCGAGTTGCAGTGACAAATGAGCAATGGGAGTCAACAGCAACCATCATCTGCCCAGAGAGGATGAACAATCACCTTCTGTCTTGTTGAACAGCATCATTTAGTTTACAGTGAGATGACCCTAACTCCTAACATGTATGCTGTACTGCAGAAAGAAAAGGTGGGAGCTTTTGCAAACAAGGCAAAAGTTGCACACATCCTCATTCCAGTTTTTGCTGGTTGTTTTGGAGGTATGAAAAAAAACACTGAAGATGGTGGGACAAGCCTTGCATCATCCAGATGGAGGGAAAAGCACCCAAACCAACAGTGTTGAATCCAGTGCTTTTGCAGGAACTGATCCTCTGTCTAGATAAGCCCTGAGTAAGCAGCAGTGGAAACCCATTTTTATCTCTAGGAAGTGATGTGAGCCTAATCCACGCCTACTTCATGTAAAGTCAACACAGTATAAGCAAGAGAGAGCAGACAGGAGGTAAAACATGCCGTCCACAGAGAGAAAGGAAGTGAGTGGAAGAGAGTGTCTATAGTGTCTCCTCATTGAGCGAAAGGTGGCCTATAATGCAACCAAGCAAGGAAGTGAAGAGTGTGTGAAAGAGAGTTGCCTCCACACAGTTCCTCAGGACCAATCCAATATATTTTGCTCCCTGTCAAGGAACAGAACAGCAACCACCACTTCCACCTATGCTAAAGTCTCATCACCAGAGCATCCTTGTAAAATCCAACCAAAAAGGAGTATCCTGTCTTTCATTATCATCAACCTCTGTAGTTCTTATTGTACTTTTGCAGCTGTAAAAAGAAAAGGAAAAAGCTCCAAAGCATCATGAGAGCAGATCTAAAGTTGTCTGAATGCACAGAATCCAAGCTTCTGCCACTCCTACCATGCTTACTACTTATATCTAAAACAGAACAAAGGAAGCAGTTGTAACCCATATTTTAGGCCTCTCATATGAAACTGGTTGAGTGTTCAGAATATGAAATTAACTAGGCCTTTGGTCTAATTAAGCATAGCTCTTGGCTTTGGGTATAGAATATCCAGAAGTATCAATGTATTTGGCTCAGTACTAACAAGGGTTAGGTTGTCACTTCTGTTGTCTATGAAGGATCACCAGTGTCACCTTCCACTTCTGTTGTTGCCTATAAACTGCCCTTCAGTAGTTTCTCTGCCTCCACCACCATTGGAACTTTCCACTCTGTTCTGCTGATACTACCTTTACTCTTGGTGGATGCATCTCATGAGGGTGTGATCACATGGGGAAAATAGATAACAATATGGACTGCTTTGGGACCATATTGTAGGCATCCTTCAGTCTCAAGAGACTATGGTAACGTGCCCCCTTCAACTCCATGATTCTATGATCCTTGTTGTGAGCAGACACACTGAACAGAACAGAGTAACACTTTATTGTCCTTGCATATGAAAAGGAATCACCAGAGTGCTATCCAGAACAGTGCACTTATTTATTTATTTATTGGACTTATATACCGCCCCATAGCGCTACAAGCACTCTCCGGGCGGTTTACAATTTTAATTATACAGGCTACACATTGCCCCCCCAGCAAACTTCTATGACATCCTCAGTTTTTAGACTTTGGCTGAATTTCTCAGACAGCATATACCTAATCTGTTCTTTACACTTCTATAATGCAATGTCTACGTTGTTGTATTCTTAGGTTAGCTGTTTCTCAAGAAAACGCAGTGCAAGGTCATTTTGAACAAATGTCTAGGGCTGGCAGGCAAAGGGCAGCATTGCCCTTCAGGGCCCCCAATACAGCTGTCTGCTCTCCCAAATAGTTTTAGATTTTAAAAGTGCATGTCCTAATGCAGTCCCCTTGAAGAAATGTTGGGGCACTGAAAAATGGATGATAATGTTGTTTGGCAGGCATACATGCCGGTTAGGTTGCATTTTCTACATTGCTGTTATTTCTATGCTATGCTTCATTGACCTATGCTTGAGCACACTGAAATTCAAATACGCTTTAAGACATTCCATGGGGTGTTTCCAGACGGACAGCCCCTGAAACTGCCAATCAAGAGAGATTGTTCATTGAGATCATTTCCCCTCCTGAAGGGAAAGAAAGGGGGAAAAGGTGGAAGGGTTATAACTGAGGGTTTATAGAGGCAGGGCAACAGAATGAGGCAGGGCAACAGAACACTCCTTTTAATCACTCGAGGAAAAATTAACAACTCCCAGACCAAAATGACATTATTATTTTGCAATATTTTGGAAGAGTCCCATATCTGGTACTTCATGCAGCTAGTACTAGTAAGTGTCCTTCAGTCTCGAGAGACTGTGGTATCGTGCTCTGAATAGAGGTCTTGGAACACCATCTAGTGTGGCTGAGAAGGCCAATTTGAGAGTGACAATCCCTTCCACACCGAAGACAAATACAATCTGTCCCCTGTCCAGCTCCCTGATTTTGCTGCCTCTGTGAGACAAGGGTCTCTTCAAATTGAGAGAGGCCATGAAGCACCGCCTGCCTCCAGACTGAACGCTCAGATGTCAAGCTCTCCCATTTGTTGAGCTCCATTCCTAAGGCCTTCAGATCCTGCTTGCAGATCTCCTTGTATCACAGCTGTGGTCTCCCTCTGGGACGCTTTCCCTGCACTAGTTCTCTATACAGGAGTTCTTTTGGAATCTGACCGTCAGCCATTCATGCCGCATGCTGCTTCAAAACGCGTAGAATACTGTAACAGAATTTGCACAACTTCAGCCTTCTTCTTCTAAGGGGCATCCTCCCAATGTTGCAGACTACAGTTCCCATCACGCCTGGCTCTGGCCATGCGAGGTGGGGTTGAAAGGAATTAGGTCCCTTCTAGCTTTATGTTTCTTAAAGGCTTTCAAGGATTGGCTGTCACTTTAGCCAAGCATGTAATAGCATTTTCATTAATATTTCCATCTATTAGACAGTAATAGTAATGCAGGAATTGTACATGTCACAGATGATGCTTTATTAACATATTAAATTTTGCTGGTTGCCTAAACATTGGTACCAGTTTGCACTTCTGAGTGTGTATGCTGTGTTGTTCTCTGTGTTGCACATGCTTTGCAGGTGATCAGCCCTGTAGTTTCTTTTTCCTCTACCCACCCTTTACCTTTTCTTCCTTTGCTGAAGGGGCAAAGGCCGATCCTCGGACGCCTGAGTCTCCCTCCCGACCTCCTCTCCTATCCCGTGTGTATTTTCGGGCTCGGAGAGGCCGGGGAGGAGGAGGAGGAGGAGGAAGAGCTGCGCCCGGGGCTTGGCCTGCCGCTGCCCGGCCTCCATCTTGGCAGCCGCCCCGCCCCGCCCCTTTCTGGAGTTTTATAACTTGCAGGGTTTCCGCGTCCTGTGACTCCAGTCAGGTGGTTGCCTCCCGCCTCCTGTCAGCTCTGCCCG